ATCAGATGAGGGTCAGAAAATCATGTCAGGAGATGTTGGGATCTTTGTGAGGACTCTCAATGAGATGACGTTGAGGGACGCCTGAGAAAAGGCCATTACATTAGTCTAACATGGTGGAAATAAAAGCCTGGACAAGTCATGATTGGACGTGAATCCTGTAATTATTTATGAGGACAAATAAAGGAGGGGCGGGAATTCAATCATACTCATGCTGTGTTGAATAAAGGATCCAGTTTCAGATGAAAACGAAAGAAAATTGGGGATTGATAAACACAAGGAGCAGAGTGGACACTGAGATATTGTGTATTTACCAGGTGCGACTGAGCAGCGGAAGAACAATAACAAAACTAAAGGAGGTTATTTTGTGGTGAATATGATGAGAGTGACAGCATCACTTTATCTTCATCCACCTCAAACATGAGAATACGGAGACAAAACAAAGCTGGGTCACGGTTATAAATTCTAACCATTACATTATAATCTATAACTCTGAGCTAGGTCAGCTAAAAGAAGCATCACTGGACTCATTTCCTCTCTCTTGTCTGCGGACACTGCCAAAGCCTGGAATTCACTTCAATATCCAGAGCATTCATAGATGTGCCCATCCCCAGGGAGGCTAAAAATATGCTACTAACACATTTGCCAGATCCATATTTCATAAAAACGCAAAAGTCAAGATACCTTTTTGTTTAAATTTTTTAATTTAGTGACATTTGTCATGGAGAAACAAACAGAGCAACAGATGTGTGGATGACGGTCAACACAGTGATGGGAAAGAAAAACATAGAGAGAGACAGGAAGACATGGATCAGGCAGACCATGCTGCTTAAAGGATAAAGCCAGTGATACCAAAACCAACAGTGTGCATATTCTACTAACAAAAGCCAGACTGTTCTGTGCCACAGACCTCCATTACATTCTTGTTCAAAAAACTATAAATGAGCCACACAGCTTTACTTTCTGACATGTAAGGCTGCAACTAAAGATCATTTTTATCATCACATTTTTCAAGGTCATACCGTCGAATCGCCATCATCTTGTTTTGACTGTACAACAGTCCAGAAATACTCAATTTTCTCATGTAAGACAGGTAAGAACAGTAAATTCTCCGTCTTGAGATGGAACCATCAACATTTACTTGGAAAAAGATTTAATTAATCTGCAAGTTATTTTCACTGAATCATATTATTTATAGACATAATAAACAATATAATAAATTTAAAAAAAGAGAGTCATTGCAGCAGTCTTTCTGGTGCAGGAGTCAGATCACGGGGGGATGCCAAGGCTCCCAAGGGAAGTGGGGCACAACTGTGTGCATGACGGGGCAAGCTGCCCGGTGGCTAGGCCACCTGCTGGATGGCAAGTTGCCACCAGAGAACATGCACATGGAGCGCACATGCAAACACACTCATGTGCAGACAACCCCGTCACACAGAGGACACAGACTTTTCTTTTTTATTTTTAAAAAAAGGGGGAACATTTCACAGAGAAATATTTAGAGATAAACCTGTCAGTGAAATTTAGAGTGCCATGTTCTTCACTGGATTTATGATTTTTATTTCACAGTTCATTGGACATTCTCATGTGAGAGAGGCTGAGGAAAGTCCCCTTCCCACAGCTTCTTTGTCTCTCTCACACACACACACACACACACACACACACACACACACACACACACACACACACACACGCAGTTTGTCTGGCACCTGCCATACTTCCGTGTGCATCTTGGCTTGCGCTCACATCCGCAGGCTCAGTGGTATTCACAGATGTCTTATCCTGATCCCATAATAAAAAAATCACACCCAATGCCAGACATTTTCCCCACCTCTGTTAGTCCTGCATTGCATCACCTGACAAACATAACATGTGACACAGTACATGATGCTTATCCATGGAGTCACTGGTAGACTGAGATCTGACTAACGTCACCTATGAAATCCCAGAAAGATTGACTCGGTGAGTCAAAATAAACACAGTGAGGCAAGTATGTTTTTAGCTCTCCATCACGACCGACAGCAGAGCCTCTAGCTGCATGTGTAGGCTGCCTTGTTCGAAAGCTGCAGCTTCAGTTACTGATCTTAACAGAGGCACACACTAGTACTCCATCACCCACAGAGATGATGTTCCCACACACAGATACATGAGAGGAAAACACTAAAACTCCCACTTCCAAATCTGAAGGTTCTCTCCGTACACATTACCTAACAAGACAAAAGCAGAAGCCGTCCAGCCCGAGCGTCTATCTAAAGATGAGTCTAAAAATACAAACACCTCTTGATCTACGAGCACACACAGCACGCAGACAGCAAGCACACAAATCACTCTGGCTGGCTCCTGATCTGAGAGTGATTATTTTAAATGGCTTCCATTACAGCCAGCGAGCAAGGCTGAGCTGATATAGTGTCGCTTTCACCTATGGTGCAATCTATCGAGCTTTAATCAGATCACCAGTCACAAGGGCAAGGAGGCAGAGACGGAGACTGGAAAACGGCCACGGCAGCTCACTTGTGCAAGCACATGTGAAAACAAACGCTCAGCCGCTCTCTTTCTCTCCCTTTTCCTTTTTCTCACTTTTTATGAGATTATTTAATATGTGTTAAGACTTTTTTTTTTATTGATTTTTGCATTCAAATGGTCGGTTCCACCAAGTCTGGGAGTGCAGCTAAGACTGTTTTCATTATCCGTCGTCACTGTCAAGTATTTTGTCAATTAATAATTTGGTCCATAGCAGAGGTTTTGAAAGTCTCACACTCCCACTCAAAACAGAATCAAGAAAGCTTAAACTACATTTCCCATAAATTTGGGAGATGTAAACAGGAAATACAATGTTGCCAACTGATTCAGTGATTTACACTGTGGGCTACAACCTGAGAGGCATTTTTTTGCATGTTTTTATTTATATTATGTCACATTGGCCCCATTAATAGTATGCCGAATTTCTAATCAGCAGCGACCATGGATCTACTGACAGCTATCACTGGATTACTTTGATACTGAAGAAAATTATAATTCAAAAGTTTCTTGTGTCTTTTTAGTGGAATTAAGCAGATTTAACAGCTTAAACCTCAAGGACATTTCATTTCATATCACAGAACAGTAAGAAAGAAAAAAGACAAAGAAAATCTGTGACGTTTTGGCTTTTTTTATTTTCTTCTTTTTTTAACAATAGGTGGAAAAAATATTTTGTTCATCGACTATTCAATTAATGGATTACACATTTCCAAAATTACACATTTTCTCTTTTCCTCTAGTACTTTTAAGACTTAAAGATAATTTTTATTCTATCAGGTTTTGAGATTTCCACCTCTAAATTTCATCCATCACATCAATACAACCGAAGTGAGGGGGATTTCATGTGGAGCTCACATCATTGAAAAATTACATTAAAATGTGTCTTTCTAAAAACAATGTCTCTGATACTATCACAGTGGATAATCCTCAGACCTCACTGTGAACACTTTTCATAGGTACTATTTCTAATAGTTCAAATAATTATTTAATTTGGGTGAACTGACCCCGCTCTGTTAACTTTCAAAATAATCCCTTTAATTTCAGTAACCTGCTTAAATGAAGGTTAACAGTATGAATAAAAATAAGAACAATTGAAGGACGCAATGCAAACATACAAAGAGAGAGAGCGAGCGAGCCAGAGAAAAAGACACAATCCTTCACTCTATTATTGTTGAGTACATCAGTCTGAAGTGGAGCTCTCTTCTGGTGCCACTCCCTTATCTGCAGTCATCTGGGAAGCCTAGACATAAAATAATCTGACAGTTCAGATCAGAGATCTGCTCACACAAACAAAAATACACGCAGAGCAAAACAAACATCTCTACACACACACACACATACACACAGACGTGTGCACGGTGGGCCACTGGCAGCCAGCAGAGGGGGCTGTCTTTGTCTGACATTGAGATAGCCTTGTTGGCTGGAGGTCATTGCTCAGATCAGTCACATTTAATCGTGTTCACATCCTCTCCTGCTCCCCTGTGTCAGGTAGCCGCTCTGCTGTACTTAAAGAAGTCAGTGTTTTCACACAACTTTCACGCTTGCTGGAGCGCTGCAATCTGCTGCACAAGGCGGCTTCAGGGCACCCCACACACACACACACACACACACACACACACACACACACACACACACACACACACACACACACACACACACACACACACACACACACACACACACACACACACACACACACACACACACACACTAAACACTGCTTTAGTCCGACCTTCAGGACATGTCTGTGCACTACACTACCTGTCCTGCACACTTGCTCCCTGCAAAGCACAGTGCAGAGAAGATTTGGGGGCTTGTTAAATGATCATCACTTACATTGGCACTTTGCACAGGGGTCTTTCTCATACTCCAGCAGATCAGCAGCACGACTACGAACGCTGGTGTTCCTCCGCAGTCCTCCGCCATCCCGCACTCCCCCATCCCGTAGGCGGGCTGCTTCCTCCTTGGCATACACACCCAACTCCTGGGTGTACCGCCCATACATCTGTGCATATGAAAGACAGAAAAAGAGAGCTTTTATACAGGTACTGCGAGTGGGAGGAAGTGAAAGAAATGTCAGTGTGATGCAGCAGGTTGTTCAGTCAGTACACAGTAAAGATGGTCAGCTTCTGTAAACGCAGAGGTTCAAACTCAGAGTAAACAGAGCCTGGTGTCACAAAATGTACTGACTTCTACTAATTAACCGCTTTTCTCAAGTTGCTTTAAAAAAAAAAAAAAAAAAAATCCACTCAGCATTGACTCAACTGTGGTGTAATGACTTTTTCTCAGACAGATGAGCAGACAATGAGCTCCACCTGTCAGCTCCCAGCTGATTAACTCTGCAGGCCTGCCACACAATTGACTCCTAACGATGAGAGGCAGCGTTCTCGGAAAAACTAAACACCATCAATCATGTATAAAGCCTGCGTCTCAGCCACAGATGCTGCTGTTGCAGGTTTGGTCAGTGTGTAGTTACTAACACCATGATGGAGCTTTTCAAGTGTCTGTTTGGTGTAGTGGTGGTGGTGGTTGTTGTTTCAGTTTGTGATGTTACTGCCCAGCATTACTGGACGATGCCTCTGCAGAAACATCAACCTCCTCTTCCTTCCCAGCCGCCTCAGCAACGGTTGAAGGTTCCTCCACCTTCAGTTCCCTTTGATAAATGTCAGGTGGAGGAGAATGAGAAGATACAGTGCGGGACTCGAGATATCACAGCCGAGCAGTGTGAAAACATAAACTGCTGCTTTGATGGGCGGCAGTGCTACTACGGGAAAGCAGGTATCTGTGCTCTCTAGCGTAGCTTCTAGTGCCTCTTACAAACACTACATGGTGAGTAATAAAAAAAAAAAAAAATGAACTACTGCAACACCCACTCTTCTCACCCAGTGACTGTGCAGTGTACCAGGGATGGCCAGTTTGTGGTGGTCGTGGCTCGAGATGCCACTCTGCCCCACATAGATGTGGATTCAGTCAGCCTGCTGGAGGCAAACAACCCCTCCTGTACCCCAGCTGGTGTCACCGCTGCCTTTGCCATCTTTCAGTTCCCTGTGACTGCATGCGGTACTACAATCAAGGTGGGTGGTGAAGTCTTTGGATTATTTTGATATTTTATCATAATGTTTGGTTGTGACAGTTATTTCCTTGTTAAATTTTTGATTGACAATTGTTCTGTCTATAAATATCATAGCGCTGAGTCTGTCAGTGTTCCTGCAGCCAAAATTAAATCTTCAGTTTCTTTGACAAACAATCCAAAACTTGAAGGTATTCAATTTAAAAATAAAACTGGACTCAGACCTCTTTATTTCATGTCATACCCCTCCTCTATATCTGTCTTCATTGTAACCTGGCTGTTTAATGCAAAATGACAAAACACTTTGCTGAAATAGATCATAGTTTTTCCATTTCAGAATATGAAAATGCAGGATACTTGGTATTTTTCCTTGGCTTTTATTTTTTTATATAAACAGAACAAATCTATATTTAATGTGCACCTGTTTCAACATTTCCTCCTCCTGCAGGAGGAAGAGGGTTATGTGGTGTATGAGAACCACATGTCTTCCTCATATGAAGTGGGAATTGGCCCCAGAGGATCAATCACCAGGGACAGTCATTTTGAGTGAGTTCACATAAAATCGATCAGCCTCTTTGGTTTTTGTGACCCACTTGAGGATTCCTAAGATGTCAACCCCCCCCCCCCCCCCCCCCCCCCCCCCCCCCCCCCCCCCCCCCCCCCCCCCGCCCCCCCCCCCCCCACCCCCCCCCCCCCTCCCCCCCCCACCCCCCCCCCCCCCCACCCCCCCCCCCCCGCCCCCCCGCTCCCCCCCCCCCCGCCCCCCTCCCCCCCCCCCCCCCCCCCCCCCCCCACCCCCTCCCCCCCCCCCCCCAAAAAAAAACAGGTTATTGTTCCAGTGTAGATACTCGGGCACAGCAGTGGAGGCTCTCGTCTTGGAGGTGAACGCTCTTCCTCCCCCTGTGCCGGTCGCTGCTGCAGGACCCCTCAGAGTGGAGCTCAGACTGGGCAACGGAGAGTGTCTCTCAAAGGGATGTGTGGAAGGTGAGTGGCACAAGAGCTTTGATAACGATACCAGCTAATGCATAATTCTGTCTTGGTAAAAACTGACCTCTTCTGATTCCAGAAGAGGTAGCGTACAGCTCCTTCTACACTCGAGCAGACTATCCCATCACTAAAGTGCTGAGGGAACCTGTGCATGTCGAGGTGCGACTCCTGGAGAGGTCTGATCCAAACATCGTCTTGAACCTGGAGCACTGCTGGGCCACTTCCACCCCCAATCCTCACAGTTTGCCACAATGGGACCTTCTGGTTGATGGGTATGATGAAACATATGGATTTAATAACTGAAATTGTACTTCTTTGAGCAACTTTTTGTTTCTGTGGTTTAACATGATGTTCTTGCCTACAGATGTCCGTACCACGATGACCGTTACATAACCACAGTAGTGCCTGTGGATGGCTCCTCTGGGCTTCAGTATCCATCACACCACAAACGTTTCATCATCAAAATGTTCACATTTGTGGATCAAAACACCTTTACTCCTCAACAGGACACGGTACAATTTAGCTCATAAACATTAGTCTCAATAACTGAAATGTACTTGTAGTTTCCTTCATTAAATGTGCAACTTGCATGCTTTTTTTTTCTTCCAGGTGTTCATCCACTGTGCTACTGCAGTGTGTTACCCCAGCAGCACAAACTCTTGTGCACAGCCATGCCACCGGCAACGTGAGTAGCTCCTTATGGCTGCAACTATAAAAATTGTGACTTCAGTTAAATACAGCTGCTTCAGCCATATCATAACATTTGGAGGATGAAATAGTATTGGCTAAGCAGATCAGTTATCTGTATCTGCAGATTCCCTGAGTTGATATCTAGAGGGGAAAAGTTGAATCCATGCATCACTACAAGTTCAATGTTTGGCATTTTTGCACAAATGACTTGAGCAATTATCAAAACAGATGCATCTCTAAAGCACTTGTAAAACTAAAGAAATTCACAGTAACAGATGCAATTTCCCTTTTTCCTCTTTCAGGGAGAGCAGTGGCTGCAGTGAGGAAAGCTTCCTCAAACCAGAGGGCTCTGGTCTCAAGTGGAGAGGTGATCCTGACAGAGGAGAGGACTACGTCTGCTCCCGACACCAAATCAAACCGATGACTGTCCATATCTGGCCATGCATTTTAATTAAAAGCTTGTTAAAGCTCATGCTAAAAACTGGCGCATGTCTGAAATTCTTCTTGAAGGTCACTAGCACTACATATTTTTGCTGAGCTGGATTTTTATTCAGAGGCATGTGTTGTAATGTAACCCCTTACTGATTTCTGCTGAGGAATCAAGGTTGCATTTGCAACTGGATACTCGGTAAAATTTATACTGAAATCTGTAAACGGGCACAATGAGGAAGGTATTTTTACATCCTAGTGAGCTGAGAAGTGTTTGTAGCTGAGAAAAGGAAGTGTGGTGCCAAAACACTGATCTTTCTAGCACGCCACATTAAGATTAGTATCACGACGACTCCAGTCTCGCTGCTTGTCTCCTTCATGTTCTCCCTCTCTTAGTCTTTATTTTTTGATAACAGTCCCTCTAGGTTTCTGTGTATGCTACAACTTGCAGCATCTCTCCTCCACTGCTCTGTGCACCACCTCCTTTTTTTTTTTTTTTTTTTTTTTTTTTTTGTCCCACTCAACTCCTCCATCCCCCCCCCCTCCTTCATTGAGATGGGCATCACGACTCCTCCAGACTCGCTCTTTCTGCTCGCATGAACAGGAGGTGCAGAGGGAAAGCAGAGCAGCTGCATAGGTTCGATTCTGACTGACGAGCAAAAAGGACCATCCAGGCTGTCGGTGTGCTCATCTCCCTCCAACGTAACCTCCAACCTGCTGGGAAGCATTTACGCAAGATGCAGCTATACATCACATTCAGACAACAGTTCTGCCTCATAAACCACACAGCAAAATCCCAGAGGGATCAGCCAATAAGTGTGAGCTGACATACTAACAGCTGCTGCACGGACATACATAAACATGTCAGGAGTGAAATGTAAACAGATTTTGCCACTGGTTAAAAATGCTGTCAATTAAGGCAATCTGATGGATGCAGAGGGGATTGTGTGGAATGCTAAAGGATCAGTGAATAAAAAATTAAATGAGTTGGAGTGGAAATAATACCACACACAAACTATGCTAAGGCTATGGACTCTACTGGTTCACATTTTTCTAGGTCCATCTTTAACAACACTAGCATTTCCATATGTTCATTGAAACAGTTATTGCTCACTGCAAATGATCCTCCTGTGCATACTTGACCTGAAGAAAAACCTTCCTAAAAATAACTCCAATGTAAGGACTAGTTTTATCCCCCATCTCTTGCAGTGAAATCACATCAGGAAGAAGTCTTTTCACAGCCAGAATGAGCGGGAGAAACGATCAAAGTGACCATTGACTATTTCACTGTACATATGAACATGCTATTGTTTTAAGATAAGCCTTGAAAACGTTATCTTTCCTTTCCTGTATATACCCTTTTTATTGAAACAGAAACTTACTTTTCCAGTGCTGTTTGACTTTGCGATGCAAAGACAACACAACCTTCACACTAGGGTGGTCAGTATAATTTCTAAAACTCAGTAAGGCATTCAAATGTGCAATAACGTCATTGTGCAATTACTATTCTTAATGAAACCTTAATTTGTTTTTAAAGATTATTTTTGAGTTCAACATGCAACAATGGTCTGTAGCCAAAACTGAACTGAGGACTCTGGTGAAATTATAAATCACTTTGCTGATTCAAATAGTTTTCTTCAATTTAGTTCAAAGATTCATTGTCACAGACTATATAGTCTGTTCACTTATTTTCTAAGATAGGCGATGACATCACCTTTAAACCTGTAAGTCACCTGTAAGTGAATGTATATTCATACCGCCATGGCATTTATCAGCTCCTCTGACTACTCCGTTCAGTACAGTCTGTTGTCTGTTCGAGGTGTTACGTTGAGTTCATGATAGTCACATCCTGTGTGACTGTGATTTAGCATAGTCAGTTCAGTTTAAAGATGCGGTTTTAAAGATGAATTTGTACATGTACTTAACACCACTACAGGACACCCTGTACTCTCAGTTTAACAAATGAAACTGCCAAAGACTGTACAAAAAACTATTTTGCTCACATGGGAAAAAGCAAAGAAAAACCCCCAAATTGCTCCAGTTTGTAGGTGAGTCCTACTTCTTCTTCATCCAAAGAGAATCATTATGGCTGTGTTAGTATTTCCTAAATTCTCATGTCTGTCAACTTCTGAAGATTTTGGCCAATGAAACATTGCACTGTTTTCCTCTTTGGTAACTGGTCACTACACTGGTAAATTAAACTATTCACAGCTATGCTGAATTTCAACTTTCCTTCTGAATCGTTATGTGTTGGCAAACAAATTTTTTAGGCGCCCACACATACAGTATAGACACATACAAACCCACAACCAGCACCAGACAAACTCTCACTAGGAGTATAAACAGGGCCTGTTAGTGTTTCTTTCTTGGGCCTGTGCAATCACTGGCCATCTGGAGCAGAGCCCCCTGGGAGAGCAGCAGGTGGGACCCTGTGGGTTAAATGAGCTGTTGTTTGTAACCAGTTTAACTCCCACATAACCAACTTCTGTATCTACATTAGTCAGTTTACCTCCCACATCACAACCCTTTAAACCAGTTCAACTCCTGCCTCCCACTGGTTATGCCTCCATGCCGGCGACAGCCAGGGCTGGAGGCATTTTGTTTTCGGGTTGTCTGTACATACGTCCATCCGTCCATACATATGTCCACCTGTACATATGTCTGTCTGTCCCATTCTTGTGAATGCGATATCTTAGCAACACCCTGAGGGAATTTCTTCAAATTTGGCACAAACATTTACTTGGAGTCAAGGATGAACTGATTAGATTTTGTTGGTCAAAGGTCAAGGTCACTATGACCTCACAGAACATGTAGGGTCGGGACAAAAATGACATTCCATATCCAAAGGGTCAAAGGTCAACTTCGCTGTGACATCACAATGTTCTGCAAAAACACTTTTGGCCATTATTCAATGCTGTGACTCAGGAAGAGGAGATTGTGACCATATTTCCTGCAACTTGACTGGTTGGCGATCCTGCAGTTACAGAGCTTTTTAGCTGAAAACAGCTGCTTGCCATGGCTGTGAATGACACCACGAGGGCTGTGAGAGTGAAACAAAACAGTAAAGTAGTGGCCAGACAGCTAAACAATGAGCTGAAAATAGCTATAAAGCTCCGTAAAGCCGAGGGAAGCTGCAGATTCAGGTAAAAATTCTCTGTAGGCTCACCACTACGAGCAACCCACAGTTAGTTTATCGCAGAGAAGTTACAAGTTGATTTTTCAACTGTAAAATATATATTGCTCCCAAGTATGTACTCACAAGGGATACGCTTTAATTTACCAGCTGCCCTAATGCAACTTGCATTTCACCCTGCAGCAGTGCTTAGTGTGCGGGATCACCCACCGACTTTTTCACAAGAAGAGAGGCCCTCATGTCCACCAACTTTCTTCTGCATAAGACCCCCCACTTTACTGCTACATCACTCGCTTTGCCACCTTTCTAAGTCAGACCATGTGCAAGCCTAGCACAACAGATGAGATAAAACGTTCTCTATTATTCAGCAAATCCCAAAGCACGGCATGGATAATGTATTCATTGTGATGAGACAGCAAGGACAAATATTTGACACTCTAATGAAGAGGGCTCGAACATCTAAAACTTTCATCCTTTCTGCTTTTTATTAATACATATTTATAAGAGGATTTTAATCTCTTTTTTTTTTTGTAGCGTATGAGAGTTAAGGGATCCATCGCTGCAGAGAGAACGATGGATGTTTTAGACCCTTAAACTCCTACATACTGTTGTAGCAGTGTGATTACTTAAATGCATGCTGAGTGTGTATTGAGGCGACCAGGGGAATAACAGGAGGACTAAAGCATTCGGGCTAATCTCAGCCCTGTAGCCTCCAGGGACAAGATTGAAAATTGAATTAGATGAGGAAGTGACAAATTTGACTCATCCCGCTCGCTACATTTGCATTAATATGGGTAGCGGAGGCTGCTTTTACAGTTACCTATGAGTCAGAACTCACACGCACACACACTGACAGTGAAATAAACATGAAAGCCCTTGATGCTGTCGAACAGACCTAGGCAAACATGTGAAACAGAGACAACTGAAAACACACCAGCACACACTCCGATCATATTAGTAGAAAGTGATGTCAGTGAGACTGAAGGATAAGGCAAAGAGAGTGACATCTTGTAAGAAAAAGACTTGAGGGGGAAGCGGGTTGTTCCGTGTACATCCTGACAATCATCCGTGGAGATTACGTTTGCATGAAGTTTAAAGTGAGCAGGAAAACAAGACAAGTAAAAGACACACTGAAAGATCTGATTATGGTTGTGTAAACATACTGGTGCTGTTTAACTGTGCTGGACTACAGCTGAAAATTAGCCAGCTGGCTAACACTGGTACGTTTACAGTAATGTTACATTATACAGAGAGGTGTTTCTGTTATTTAGCCTACACCTCTCACTTCAATAGCAGCATAAACTACATCCTCCCAAATGATCACACAGTTGAATTAACACCTCTCTGAAACTGTCTGAATACATGCAGTCATTATAGCCTTCATGAAGGGAGGATTTATTCCAGGACTCTTATAACAGACTGAATTACTTTGGGTAGCCTAATAAACTGCTATGTGTTGCACTTTTATCCACAGTGCCACTCATTCACCCATTCACATACACAAACAACTATTTTGATAATCAGCTCCAGTGGTTCAAGCTTGTCAAATGACACAATTTGCTGCTTTTCTTTGTCTTATATGACAGTAAACTAAATATTAACTTTGGCTTTTGGGACATTGATTGGACAAAACAAGAAATTTAAAGCTCTGGGAGGTTGTGAGGATCATTTCTCGTTATTTTCTGACATTTTGTTGACTATATTTTATGATTTTTTTTTTTTTATCAATGAATCAAGAAAATAATACACAGATTAATATCAATAATGAAAATAATAGTTGTAGCCCTAGTTGACAGCTATAACCACTAGTTATAGGATAGTAGGATTTTACATACAAAACAGAACAAGAATTAAAAATGACT